GGAGCGAAACGATCAAATGTTTCCGCCAGTAACGGCGTGAAGCCAGCTACCCCTACTCAAAGCAGAGCAGCCTCCCCGTCACCCGACCGGTAGGTAAATATCTCAGCTTCATGATTATGTTGCATAAGTAAACTAATAATCCTCTCTCCGGTTTGATTCTTAAGGAGCCCCAGTAGACCAATCAGCAGACACTCAACCCCAATACATTTAGAGCTCCCAGCTGTTCCTGAGGAAGATGCTGCCGTCTGTGGCTCGTCAGTCTCTGTCGGTAATTCAGGGCCCATCAGTGCACCGGATAAAGGTCCAAAACAGACACAGAAAAAAGAAAAACTCCCAAAAACGGAGCCTTTAAAGCCTTCTGGGAAACAGAGAGACATCTCGCCCAGAATAGCAGCAGAAGGAAGTAAGCTGAGAAATTCTTACAGCTACATTTTTTAAAACTAGATCCCAGTAATTATTATGATTTTCTTTACACCCTTTAAGCTCCCCAGCCCCCGGAGGTCATGATCCGCCTTTCAGCCGGTACCACTGACCCTAAAGAGGCCTCGAGACTTCTGGCTGAAAAGAGGAGAGAGGCCAGAAGACAACGGGAGAAAGAGGCGCAGGAGTGTTTGCAGAGAGAGGAAGCTGAAAGGCAAAAAAAAAACTTAATATCCTACAGAAATACTATAGGAGGCAAAGCGACCAGTGTGACGGTTTATAACTTCTGTTCAGGCGGAATCATGAAGAGCAGGCTCGACAGGAGGCCGAGGCCAAGCGTCTGGTAGAGGAGAAGAGAAGAAGGGAGGAAGAGGAGCAGAGAAGAGCTGAGGAGGAGCGAGCTCAGGCTAAAAGAGAGGCTGCCCTTCTTCAGAAACAGGTACCAGAAAAAAATAAACACTTCAGGAGAATCTCTCCTCTAATGCATGAACTGCTCGGTTATTTTGTAACCATGTTAACCATGTAATAATGCCTATCTGCATTTTACACAGAGAGAGGAGGAAGCAGCTAAAGAGAGAGCACGAGTTGAACAAATGAAGCAAGAGAGAGAGATGGCGGCACAGAAAGAGGAGGCGGAGCGCCAAGTCAGGAAAAAGGTCTGCTTCTTCAGAAACTGGGTGGAAAATATTCAGTGCCTATATAAAGTATTTATTCTCTGAACTTTTACACATTTTACTGCATTAAGAATAACAAAGAAAGCAATTTCAGTTGGATCTTAAGAGATGGACACAAAGTATCCCATAAATCTGAGGTGGAAGTAATCCATGGAGCACACAGTCCATTAAGTTCTGGAGAAACTCCCCAAGTCATTTGGGATTAAGGGAATTGTGTTCAGTGCATGCTTTGAAAACACAAAGTGAGGCATCACTCCATACAAGCTGACAGTCACTCTGGAAGAGCTGCAGAGATCCGCTGCTCAGGTGTTGCAGGAGAGCTGTTCTTACACTGAAGAGCCGGAAGAAATGCAATCACTGTATCAAAGCTATTGAGCTGCACAATTATCATAATTGCACATTTCTAATCTAATTGACATATGACTGTTCAGTTTAAGGAATAGTACACCCAAAACATGATTAGCCTTCATTTTCTACTCACCCCCATGCTGAACAACACTCTGGAGTACTTTTTTGATATCTC